GCAGGCACAGCACTTGGTGAACCTCGAAGTGCAGATTTCGTGGCAGGTACAGCACTTGGTTTAGCCTCGAAGTGCAGATTTCGTAGTCAGATGTCGTGGCAGGCAGGGTGTTCAACATGCACTTTGGAAGGAAGTCTCGTACGAAATGCGTTTTCGAGAGATAGCGGACGCACGAAATGTTGGCAAGTCAAACGGTGGCTCCGAACCTGGCAAGTCAAGCTCTGCGGAACGACGGTTGCGGAACGTCCTCGCGTCATTCTCGAATCGTCCCTCCATTGTAACTAGAGTTTTCACTTGGTTCTTGTGTACAGATTTCGTGGCAGGTACAGCACTGGTGAACCTCGAAGTGCAGTTTTTTTGGCAGGCGCAGCGCTTTGTGAACCTCGAAGTGCAGATTTCGTGGCAGGCGTAGTACTTTGTGAACCTCGAAGGCGCAGCACTTTGTGCTCTCAGATGCTCACTCTCACTCTCTCACCCTCACTCTCACTCACTCACACACGCTCACACTCACACTCACTCTTCACTCACACTCATTTTCACACTCACTCCGATGAAAAGCCGCTGCATGCACAGTGCCAGAGCGACTACGCCGTTATGGGCTGCTTGCATGATGCCATCGTTGCGGACAGGGAAAAAAGGCCGTCCGCAGGGCATGTGCGAAGGGACACTCCTATAGGTCAAATTGTTTTTATTGGAAACTTCCGCCGTCGGCTTGCCCAGGAACTGCTTGTAAGATCGTTGTGTCATGTCCCAAAATGAAACAGGAGGTCAAAGAATGTAAAGGACGGAGAACATGTTGTTGATGAAACATTGGATACTTAGATAATCATAGATGTAGACTGTATACTATAGTCTCGATTTGACAGTCAGTCCGGGCAGTGCTCAAGCAAAGCCTGACCTGCTCCACTTCAAAATGACAGGTGCCCTGCGTGAAACCTGACGCCAAAGCTTCTTGGCTTTGATGCTGTGTTCCTTTGGGTGTGGCTTCATCACTTCAAGACAGACAAATAGGGTAGACGCTTGCAAGGAGCAGACCTGTGCAAGACCCAAACACATTTTAGACTCTAGACCCTTTGTGGGAAACATAGCATTCTAGTAGAGTTCTTGACATTCTTGTAGATCATAGAACGATAGATAATGTCCCTTCGTTCGTCCCACAGCTTGAATCCGAAGATGCAGCTGCCAGCGTGTGGCGTGCATCATACATTGTCGTTTGTATGAAGAATCTCCTTGAGAAGCAGAGCGTATGCCTTTAAACTGCGAATATCCTTAACTCCCAGATATGCAGGCTCCCGAAATTCCACTTAAATGCAGATTCAAGCCTTCCTGTAATTGCAGAAGGTTGCTTTCTGCAAGGCCAAAGGAGTTGTTGGTTTTGGTGTGTTTTGGATTTTTGTGACAAAGACACATACGAAGGATGCAGATGATGGGAATGGTGCGTCAAACAAGCTACTCGACACTGAGGTGCAGCAGTGGCACTTGGCTTTGATGGCGAAAGTGGCCGGAGCTATGGACAAAGGCGCCAAGTTGGCGAGCAGATACCAGTACCTAGGTATAACACTATAAGATACTACTTATACATCAGCATACTTCTACTACTGCATACTGTGGACTATACCATTTTAGGCCTTTTTGGATTCGCCCAGAGCCACACCGCGCAAGAACGCCCGCAGTTCCTGATCTGGGCCATGAGCTGCGGACGCTGGTCAGAGATGAAAGTGCCAGAGAGGCCTCAGCGAGTTCGGAACTGGATGTGGAGTCGTGGAGGGATGAACGAATCTTTCATTTGATGTCCAAATTTGGAGAAAGGTAAACAGGGAACGCTGAGTGATTTCAACACGGCGTGATCCGGTCTTGAGAGGCTGCGATGCTCCGCTCTCGAGGGCTCAGCGAAGCATGTGAGAAGCAGATCGTTGCGCAATTGGGCTCGGGCCACAAATGGGCACCGAGAATCAGATCAAAGGGAACAATATGGAAAGGGCTTCGCTTCGTGCTCTATTTATATAGTTTTTTAATCTGAAAAAAGAACAGGTAGATCAAATCTTGCTGAATCTTGCTTGGAGTGGTGTATTCTGTGTCGCTTGAAAAATGCCTTTCAGATGATTGGAGCAATGAAGCACATCGCACAAAGGTTGTCCGCCAAGCCAGTGGAACTCGACACAACAGGCCGTAGTCTTTGACACCTTATGACACCTTTGGTGTGCATGTTCATCAACAGTAGTAATAGCCTCAACAAGCTTGATCTATGCAAAACATATGCACATATCAGCATGCAGTTTTGCACGCAGTTTTGCATTTAATGTTAAGGTTCTTGCTCGATCTGGCATGCTGGGATGACGCAAGTTCAGAAAAGTTTGCCTTGCTGAAGCACAGTTCCTGGTGGGAGGCCTTGTTGAAAACGCTGTAGACGAGTCCTGCACGGATAGAGAATGTGTGCGAGATGATGTCACACCCCCTGACATTTGCTCCCTCCCGGCTTGGCTCCTCCGGCTCGAAGAAGTTTTTAGTGTTGATTCAAGAGAAGTATTTGACCATTCAACTGGCTTGCAATGATTTTAAGATCAACTCACTCAGCTCTTGCAATGTGGGAAGTACACGAGGGATGTATGGCAGAACAGAGAGAAACAAGATGAAACCTATGAATGAAACAAATCAAGAAGCTGACATGTTGTCGTCATTAGAAGAGGCAGGCTGGCGGCTGGCTCCCACACACTTGAAATGAGTGGTGAGCAATCTAGAACATGGCGCATTCTTCGAAAGCAAGCCATCGTGGAAATTGAAAGTTGCTGATCTTAACTGCTGGGAAACGCGCACTTGGAGCGGTGGTATACCAGTTGCCAGGAAATCAAAGACGCTTCCCCGTATTCCAGTCTTGGTTTCCGTTTTTCCCTTTCACCACCAAATCATTTCCCAGTCAGAGCACCTTCAACTTCTCCGAAGTCTTTTGACGAAGCCACTTCCAGTCAGTCTGAAGTAAGAGATCACTGAGGCTTTTTGCAGCAGGCCTGGATCACAGAGTGACATGTCAAGACAACCCTTTTGGAAGCAACCACGCGTCGGGTTGATCAGGGGGATTGCCCGATTTACTCTTTTTGGGGGGGCGGTGCAGTTGCGCTAGCCACAGTTGTTGATCGTTGTTACGTTTGATTCCTGGTTTTCTACCGACATTGCGGTCTTCAAAACTCGGAAGTTTCTTCATGAATGGAAGTTGTTGTTTTTATCAGAAGACACGCACAGGGCAGTTGGTTCAGACTTTCAGTCATGAGCAATGGCGTTGAGGGAGCATTGCCTGCGTTCCGTCGGGCGGCGATCGAGCGGATATGTGTCAGCCGAGTGGCCTGAGTGACGATGTTGCCGGGCTTACACAATGTGGAGTCCCAACTCACATCTCTAAAGGTTTAAGTTCCCAAGCATTCCGATGCCGAAAAGGAATAGAAAAGGTGAACGATCGAAGCTGAACGATCAATGCGCATTTGCCGACATCCTCACCATTCCGATGCCTTGGAATCTATAGTTTGCGAAAGGACGGTGCAAATACGCCGGAGTGGCCAACTCCGATAACATGAAATGGGTGTCTTCATTCTTCATCGGAAGCGCTCCCAGATGATCTGCCCGCTACCTCCACTATGTTACATGTGCAACATTTTTGCATTACTTTGCAATTCTTTGACTCCAAGGTGTACACAAGCACACACATGCGCAGAAACGAACTATGTTTCTTTTCGACATCTGGCTCACGCACAGCAACTCTCTGTATATAAATTTCCTGAACGCACACCAGAATACGCTTGCCAGAATACGCTCAAAAGCCTCAAGACAATCGCAAGAAACCATCCCATTAACAGCAGCATCTCGTCCCTCTGTGCGCGTGAAGTCTGAGTCATGAAGCAGCTTTGATGAATTCGATGACCAAACCCGTCGGCCAGACCACGTGGTCACACTGTCAGAACACTGTCAGCCATCACATCATCCACGGCAGACTCGTCGAAAAACTGGTTGTGTCCTTCATTTTGTAGTTGTGCCCAGTCGAAAACCATCGAACACCACATTCCACTTGCAACAGGTAGATTCTTGGTTGACAACAACCAGATGATTGAAGTGAAGTTGCAAACAAAAGACTTTGAACATTTACGATTCCGAATGTGGTTGAGTTTCGCATACACGGACTATTCCGGACTAATCTATTCGAGTACGCACAGCCTACATGTCATGTCAGACAACAACATAAGCAATCCCAACATGTTTGAATCTACTTTAGGAACTTTAGGCGGGGCAAGCCCCTCGTCGACCAGCACAATAACTACTTGTTCACCTGTGCAGTCTGGAATGATCAAAGAAGGGAGAACTAAAAGCAGAAGATTTCCTCATGCTTTGCCATTTCCCAAGTGCTGATTCTTTCCGGGTGTGGCTGCTTGAGGACGCCACGTTCACGCCCAAACCTCAGATGGCTTGCAAATTTTCAGAGTCTCTCAACAACAATAAAACACCGACTCTTGAAACATATGAGATTTAAGCACTCTTTTCGGAAGCATTCATTGGTGAGTGGGTGTGCTGCAACGCTGGTCCTTGATGTTGAAGACGTGAGCTCCAAGTCTGTGCAATATTTACAATGGGCCGGCCGTGCCCGTTTCTTTTTGTCCAGTTGTTTTGTTTTGACAAGGCATATACGTTCATCCACTTATGTGTGAATGTTTTTGTTTGGTTGGAATGAACAACAAGAACAGGGCATCAGAAAGGGGCAAGCCGGACTTAAGAAAGAGGTGCACTTTGGGTCTTTAGAGACATTTTGCAAGTTCATGCAACAACAGACCATGCGGGTTGAATAGATAGGATTGTTTTGCACAAACTATAGTTGAATAAGATCCTGTCCTTGGTCAAGTTTTCTTTTTCAGACAATGTGGCATATCGCCCCTTACATCCTTTGTGTGTTTCTTTCGATCGGTGCAAAGCCAAGATGATTTTCGCCGGCATGCCTGTTGTTCACAAGGCAGGTAGGTAAACCCGTGTTACCTTTGTCTGTGGATGCAGAGTCTTTGCAGGGGAGGAACACGATTTAAACTTGAGCCCAATACCTGAAAGAGTCAAGTTGACATTGCCACCACAAAATGAAACGGAATCAAAGAGGCTCCGCAGAAGCTTGATCAGGTACGAGAAATTGCAAGAAAGGGGTGAGAGAGGTCAGCAAAAAGAAGGGCTCTTGACGGTAAAAGGCTTTCACCTGACCTACACAGATCCCGACTTGGACAATTTGAAGGCTTTTCTCGTCTTCCTCGGTGTTTCCTCATTTGCTGAGGACACCAAGCCCACTCACAGGTGAGAACCCGACCCAGTCCTGGCAACGCAGCAGCAAGTAGGACCGCAAAGAGTAAAGACTTAGAGAGGCATCATGGAGACAGTGCTGATGCAGAGATCAGGGATTTGGTGTTAGATGATAGATGACTGTTTTGCTGATTGCGGCAAATGCAGCGGAGCGCTCAGGCGACGGTTTGATGCCACACCAACGTCCACCTGTTCAGATTTAGGTGGGATTTCTGCTGTTTTATATACTGTAATCAGATATGTGCAGGGGGATGAGAGATGGGGACGCAATGAAGTTTCGCTGCTTGCAAAGGCAGGTATCTCAACTACTACAGCTTCAGTGCTGCCACTACTGCCAGTTACCACCTCAGATGTTTTCCGCAATTCACCTCCTGGCCGCAGATCAGGCCAAACGGAGTTCTGACATTCGCTTCGCTGAGGCCAAGAGCCGAATCGCATGGGTTTGTCTCCAACCTCCACTCAGGGTGAACTTCCAATGCTTGACGCTTGCATGCATCCTAATAGCAATGGCCTCCAACCCAATAGACGACGTGTGACGATCGCCATAACTTGGCTGCCTTCTGTAAACTGCGGATGAACGTCAACCATTAACGGATGACGACGTGCGGCGATCTGAGGACAACACACGACAAGTGTCGGATGACGTGCACAAATGGCAAACAAGAACGCTAGACGAAGCTTGGCTGGCATAGATGCACCTTCTTTCTTCCAAACTCAGCCCTGTGTTGGGAAACCCTCCACTCGTGCACAGGATTTCGATTTCTGTGGAACAATCGCCTTGTTTAACTTATGAAGGCATCCTTTTGCCATCCGGAACATTGTTGACTTCCTCAAGTCCTGCATTCCTTTTGTCACGACATCTAAGATTATACTAAACTATATAACATTTTGTTCGATGTGTTTATATCTATATATGCTCATATGATATGCTTCATACTCAAATTTGGACAGGTTACTGCATGTCTCAGTGTGTGTGTGTGTGGGATCAAGTCATTTGTTCTCACAGATCACAGAGTGTTCGCTGTCTGCCAAGGACATCCCTGAGTTCAGGACCAGGGGCCCCTGGTTTGCTGTTCGCAGAGCATGTTCGACCGAACAGCTCAGCATTTCCGACACCTCATTGTCATGGCTGCCACATTGATACATCCACATGTTGAGAAAACCCCTCCAGGAGCTACACCATGCCAGAACTCGTGGCCATGGAGCAGCTTGTCAGCATTCTGACATTTTGCTGGGGGCTGACTGTTGGAACAGCTTGCTATTGAAGGCATGAATTGGCTCAATGCCAGTATTTGTTCCTGTGCATTTCTGAAGCACGTTTCCTTTTCCAAGGTATCAACGCTCCAGAAATCCGACTATGGCCTCTATGCCGGAAGTGGAGATGCTCGAATCAATTTGGTTGACAAGGCTATCATTGCAACGGACAAGCAGGATAGTACCCGTAGCTTGCCACGGGGTGTTCACCGTTCCCTACAAAAGTTGACTGATGCAATTGTCCTGAGGATGGATCAAGACCAGGACGATGAAGGGTTCAAAGTAGTTTGGCATGCAAGCAGAGGCAACCATATGCAAGTGCTCAAATCTTTGCAAAAATCCATAACAGTATTAGTGCTCAACCATATTGTGCCAGTGGATTCAAGAATCAGCTTTTCAATGCAGACGACATTGTGTGCTGATTTCCCAGGTGTCAAGGCCTGCATCGCAGGCTGGACGTAGTGATGGACATCAAAAAAAACCTCAAAAGACAGACTGACAGATGGCAAAAGTGTGTTAGCCACCAAGCCACAAGCTGAAGTGGAATCAATCCTGCTCCAAGGGCCACAAATTTTGAGTGACTCTTTGCATCTCGTTGCTGAATCAGCTTGATGTGGGATATCCATACATCTTCCATTGTAATCTATATACAGATCCACAGACCAACACATGGGAAGCTTCAACCTCAAGAGGTCAACTGTCCAACTTTTTTGGGGAATCCATGTTTACCAGGCCTGGAACAGCTTCAATCTTTGAGAGCCGGG